CCTGAGCATATTAAACAAAAATAAATTTCACCACATGGGCTACACATTATAAAACAACAGCTCCTCAAACGATGGCTAACTTTAAATTACTCAGTAGTTCACCAACCCTAAGATTTTGCATGTAATGCCAATGGTACTTCTACTCATCAATGACAATGCATACAATTTTATTTGCTTAGAAAAAACAAGAACAAATTACTTGAACATTACATGTACCAGTAAGTATTTTGGGTAAAGAGAAAAGGATTGGGCACAAATACCTCTTGTCTAGTATATTCTGAGCTTCTTCAAATTCCTTTTCACTGTGTACTCCTTTAACAGCTCATAGGTTAACATTGCATGATTTGGTCAATTGCCTTAACTTAGATGTTTTCTGTGTGCAATAATTCAACTGAAAGGTGACAATGCCAACTTTCAGACTATTTGCATTGTTTTGGCTTTAAACTGAATGAACTTTAAAATATTATACATGTACATTGAGCATCTTTCTTTTTTTCACTGAATAGATAAAGAAAATGATGTTTAAAAATATGGCCCATACCAAATTTTATGTAGGTACGGTGTATGATAAAAATGCCCCTATTGCGTTGAACAAGCTCTTCAGTCTAATCTTGTGTAGATGATAAAAAAGCCAAGCTTAAATAATTTGAGGAGGTTTACGTCACCCAAAATTATACATACTATCTCAATATTTTGGGCTTCCCTAAGGAGAGAAAAAATTTGGTGCTCACAAATTAAATAGAAAGTGTATAAACTTTTATTTTTATTTTTTTTAAACTCATAAAACTCTCCTCCGTTTAAAACTGTTGTGGTAGGTGATAAAGTCACATACTTTGGTATGTTTTACAGTGCAGATCAAAAATGTATAGTATACAATCTTTAGGAAAAGATTGCGGTGAGAACTAATAAAAAATTGCATCCAAGTTAAAGGACGTGCTCTGCTTCAGTGAAATGATAATCGAATGTGAGAATTGGTCATAGTTATAAAATATCTACCTAATGCACCCTGCCTTGCAAAACTTTCCATTTACATGCACAAGCCAATATTGAATATCATGCCAAACTATCATCCCTTGTCAATTACTATTACTCTCAAATGCTCAATGGCAAACTTTAAAACGGCATATTACCCCAAATTTTTTAGAATACTTAAAAACTACACTTTGAACACACAGCAAAATATACAGGATTAAAACTCCTCCACATGGAAAATGGTAAACAACAACTTCATTTTTAAAAAGTTTACAACTCAATTCGTTAAACATCTCACTTAAACATATGGCCTGGTGCATGTTGAGTGTTTGTCAAACATTACCACTTCCCATCATTCACTTGATCACAGACATTATGATTCCAGTCCGCAGTCACACTCTACTGAATAATGAAAGATGACTGCATAAATCATACTCATTTCACTCACACCACACTTTATATATTCCAGAAGTCTCCAATTATATGAGACAAATGAAAAAAAATCTAAATTTCTTAGGTTTCCAACTTTTTTTAAATTTCATAGCATTTTTCGGACCAGTAAGAGAAAAAAATATTTATATATATGAATATGTATATATATATCTATTTATTTATATATTTTTGGGTGGGGGGTTATTTATAAACAAAAAGCATATTAAATGACTATTGGGGGAGGGAAGGGGGCCTGGAAACTTGTCATGCCAAACCTTCTTTATAAAGTAGAGGAGCCTGAACAAAGCAGTTTGGAGGCCACTTCAATGTAATTGTTTCTATCCATGCCATCAAGGCAAAAGTAATTCAAAAAAATATATCAGAACTGTGGAGAAATCACTATTTTTGCACATCCAATCAACTAGATTTTCTTTTAAACATGCATTGGGGCCATAACGTAAAAGAACAAAAAAATCTCCATACATAATAATAATGATAATAATGCTACTTTTTAAAAAACTAAGAGATAAAAAGTACATGGATTATGAACAATAAACTGATCCATCGTAAACCAAATATTCACACACCCAAAAAAAAAAAAAAAAAAAAAAAAAAGTAAGGTGTGGGGGGGGGGGGGGGGGGGGGGGAGGAAAGAAAGACGTAAGGAAGGAACTCAAAATGCTTGAATGGACGATAGCCCTCCTGTTAAGAAATGGTGAAAAATTCACTTTTTGATACTAGTCTCCAAACAAGAACAGGCGCTCCCCTGAAGTATAAACAGCAGAGTTGACACACATTACATTAGTTAGTAATACAAGTGTAAATCAAGAAGTTATCTTTAACATATATATGGCTTTTCACAATCCTCCCAAGATCACCAGTATTAAAGATGCCCAGTCACAATTGATTAACAGCATCATTGATACCACCAGATATTCCCCCCATATTGTTGATACGAACAGAATGAGAAAATTTTACCCTAGACCAGTGGTCTGCAAATTGCGCCTCTAAGTGACCTGAGTGTGGCTCGGCCAGTCGACCACGAATCTGTTTTTGACTTTGAAAAACATGGATCTTGACAGGTTATTGAAAAGAAATTTGGCTCTCAAAAAATATTTTTAAACTGTCCTGCAGGCTGATTTTTGGCTCTTTTGACTAACGGGTTTGCCGACCACTGCCCTAGACAATTCTTTTCAATATGTAACCCCCCCCCCCCCCCCCCCCCC